AGAGTTGAGTCGGGCCAAGTTATTTTTTTTGGTAGCTGAGACACACTCGTCTTGTTAATAGATCAGCTAAAGTGAAGCCTTCTACAGATACAACGTGCCTGTCTGTCAGACAAATCAGTCAAGCTACTTGTTTTGACACATTAATGCATAACTCTTTAAAAGTTCTAAAATCAAAACAGATGAATCATTAAAATCCCTCCCTTACTGTCTTAGAAACAATTTGTTTTAAGATTTATTTTTGGGCTTTTTTGTGTGCCTTTAAAGAGCCCATATTCTGCCCTTTTTTCAACATGAGCTGCAGGGCTTGCCACAACGAGCCAATGGGCTTAGATCAGTGATCTCACACTGACAATGACGTGGGACTGACAAATTTTTATCGAGGGGGGCTAGAACTGAGCGTTACATGCGGCTAATGCTACAGCTAACAGGAGGACGTAGGAGAAGCTGCATATCTAATATGGGACCTTTAATGGAGAGATAGGAAAGTGGATAGAGTCCGAAATCAGGGCGAGAGAGAGTGGGGAATGACATGCGGGAAAGGAGCCACAGGTGGGATTCTACCCTGGACCTCCCGCCTGGAGGACTACAGCCTCCATACATGGGGTGCTCACACTAACCACTGCGCCACCAGCGCCCCCCTCCCACACTGTTTTTTATCAATAAAGAAAGGAGCTATAGAGACCAGGCTATGTTCATTTCTACTTAAATATGAGCATTTTAATTTGGGCTCTGATGATGCTTCTTGGACTGTCTTTGGCACTTTCACATTGGCTTCATTTTTCAACTCCAGAGGTTGCCACTTTGTGTTAATACAATTTGTATTACTATTACTCATGCATTATCGTGCATTTTCTATGACAACCTTGATTTTCAGAGTCACAAGTATTTGATATAATAAAAGCATCATCTGATTTGCGTCCGACAAATAAAAACATCGACTGCAAAGGAAACCTCCGGTAAAGTACATGAGCCTGTATGCAGAAGGGGTTAGTGAGTGTTTGCCCACCAGAGGATCGGCCTGCTGTTTGGGCTGAGGCAGAGGTCAGGGTCAGCAGAAGGAGAGGTGGCTGTGAGGACACTGGATCCTGAGCCGATTAATTTTCTCGCCCCCAGGGTTTCGGTGGAGAGGCAGACAGGAGCTTTTCTCACTGTGCTGGCTAGGTGACGACATGGTGAACCAAAGATACCCCAAATGACACCCCCAGCAACGCACCACACAGCACATTAGGTAATGAAAGTCTAGTGAAAAGTAAGAATAGCAGCTCAGGGGAGGTGGAAAGTATAAAAGGGTTTCTAGACTGTATGGAAACCTTTTTGAAAACATGAATGTTTCCACCTTCAGAAAGGAAAGTCAAGGTTTTACACAAACCTTAAAACACTAACCCATTACCAGCTGCAGTCTATGAAAGGGAAGGTTCCATTCTTGGCAGAGTGGTGCTGAATGATAACTAAAGTGCAAAATTGCAATGTAAGTTGTCATTCCAGGCATATATAAATACCATCTTGAAAGCTGTTATCAGCTGCATTATCGTGGACACCTAATATTGAGCTTTTTAATGTCAAATAATAAAGTGAACAGCAAACTGGAGAAGAAATTGAAACAAGTACTGCTTTGTAAAAAGTAGGAGATGTTTTGTGAATCGGGAATCGGTTTGAATCAAACATAAATTTTGAGTCAAATCGTGATCCAAAGATTCCAAATTGAATCAATATTATGAGATATGGAAAGATTCACACTCCAACTGTTCTCTGACTGAGTGAGTTATGCAGGTGTTTTCAGAGGCTATACTTGATTTCTATTACATTTAAGTGTGAACAATCACATATAAAGCCTTTAATACCTGCAGACAGGAATGGCTCCAAAGCCTGAAATAGCTGCATCAGACAGCGGTCTCAGAGTACTAATGTAAGACCCTAATGTAATTCAGGGGCTCAGAGACAAGCCGACGGAAGAAGAGGGAAAGTCCAGAAGTGTTCAGCGCTTCAAACCAATACAGAAAAAGACAAACAGGTGCAATAAAAAAATGGTTTAAATGAAATGCAAAGACTCTGCAGACTGTGTGACATAGCACAAGTGTGTAGTCCCTGTACAGTCATTTCCAATCTCCCAGGATAATCTATGACTTTATTTTGCTCTCTAAATGAATATTTTCCTCCATTAGGAAAATACTTACTTCATTAGCTGAGAAGGGATCATACATTACTATTAATGATTACACATTTCAAAAGTATTTCCCTTTGTGTTTGAAAACACACAGATGATATTTTTGATCATGATGGAGAGAGATTGAGCTGTCAGCGGCGAAAAGTCGATGATGCCTCTGCAAGATTCTGTCTTATTGTAAAAGATGAAATGTCACAATCGCTATCTCCAGGAAAACGATGACGTTTATTCTTAGAACCTATTTGATTCATGCAAATTACACCTTACTGCACACGACTGGCAGGAGCAGAGAGATCTCACTATCTCAGACTACCATCTTCTCTGCTAAGCGGCTGTTCTAATACCCAAGTGTGCCAATTCCTTCTTCTGTTTTCACATTAAGTCTGTAATTCAGATTGTTCACGTTTGTTTTTGTGAATAACATTTAGTGACACTGTAAAGGGTTCTGTGGTTGTCTCTGTGATGTTTACAAAAATCTAAAATGTTTGTGTGCCGTGTTCTTTCTTTTTGTTCGCTCTCAGGCACTGTACTGCATGCTGTGAAATTAATAGATTAAAATCTTGTTCAATAAGTGAGTGAAGCCCAGCTGCATTGAAAGAAGAAAACGTATGAATAAAAATAATTTAAAGTTTTACAAGCAAGGGAGATAACATTTAGATTTTAAGATATAAGATTTATTTTACATATTCACTTTTTTCCTGCTTTTAATTTCCATTTTTTCCAAGATAACTTTTTAGCAGGAGTCATGTTTAATAATAACTTCAGCACAGATAAAGCCTTAAGTCCAAAAGCCCCTCCCCCCTTCATTCCCTTCTCTCATCCCTCCTTTCAGCCAAACCTCATTGGGCTGAAGATGAAAATGTGTTATACCTGTAGCCATGGAAGCTGCAGTGGATCCAACTTAGCCATCTCCCTGGGAGGCAAACCCTCTCATTTAGACACACATGCAGAAGATATGTGAGCTGCCACCTGTGATTATGGTGCAGTTACATAACAAGGTTTGCAGTCTGGATGTGTGAACCTTGTGATCTACTGTTCTACAAGCTTGCAGAGAGCAACGCCGCTGAAGCCTTACATTATGCAGGGACCTGTACAGTACCTGTTGCCGACACAGACGGAGAGGCGCTTTAAAAGGAAGCTTTGAGCTCCTTTAGTCAACCTCCTCAGCCATACACAATAGCCTGGTAATGATCACACACAGGCTATTGCAAATCACCCTCAGAAGTCTGAAATCAGAGGCTGGGAGTGAATAGGAACACAGAAAATGAGAGAGAGAGTGAGGGGGGGGAAGAGAGAGAGTGAGGGAGAGAGAGATGGAGAGAGAGGGAGAGAGAGAGAGAGAGAGAGAGAGGGAGAGAGAGAGAGAGGGAGAGAGAGAGAGAGAGAGAGAGGGAGAGAGGGATAGAGAAAGAGAGAAAGAGAGGGAGAGAAAGGGAGAGAGAAAGAGAGAGAGAGAGAGAGAGGGAGAGGGAGAGAGAAAGAGAGAGAGAGGGAGACAGAGAGAGAGAGAGCGAGAGAGGGAGACAGAGAGAGAGAGAGAGAGGAGAGAGAGAGAGAGAGAGAGAGGGAGAGGGAGAGAGAGAGAGAGAGAGAGAGAGAGAGAGGGAGAGAGAGAGAGAGAGAGAGAGAGAGAGAGAGAGAGAGGGTTCCTGCACCGATTAATCATTAGTGATAAAGCTGGGGCTCTGTCAGTGTAGCTGGATTTAGAAACTTCTCACTCTTTCAACCCCCTCCCTTACTAATTGTCATCTCTTTTAGCATTTGACTGATGACTGGCTTTCTCTAAAAAGACATGAGTAAAGGAGAGCAGGCGCTCAGGATAATATCACACTTTGTAGCTGTCAAAGGTGAAGGTTGCGTACTCAACAGTAGTAGCTAAGGAGAAAAAAAGCCACAGCTTGTTAGGAAAAAAATACCTGAAGGCAAAAACCAGGGTATAGTTTATAGATATACTGTAGGCTCAGCAACACCTCAAGACAATAGCCTGGCAGACAAACTGAAAGACGCTTTTGGGAGATGTTTTCAGAGAAGACTCTCTATGTCAAACAGTGTAACCAATTTCCATAAAATAAGGCCAATGACTAACAGAGTGATTGGCAGACTTCAGTTTTAATTCCTCTGATATGGGACACACTTGCAAACAAGCACACACGCATCCTCGGGTCAAATGTAGTTGATAGGTGTGAAAGGCATCACTCTGCACAGAGACACTGCATCAGTCTGATATACTGATACACCACGTCTTTCACTATGTCAACCTAATATCACAGGCCAGGGAGATACATGAATGTTTTTATCTTGGCATTTAAATGAGAATAGTTTTACCTGATGCTAGGATAAGGTGATTTTCCTTTTTGAGTCTCAACCAATAACCTCCAATAAATCACCCTTTTTTTCCAGTAGGGAAAAACAGGACTTCCCAGTGAGAGCAGAGCAGATGGACGCAAAAAAAAAAAAACAAGCAGAAAACTCAGGGCTGTTCGTTTTATGTGGGAAGCCTTTGTGAAAGCCTTTTTATCTTCATGATGTTGCTTCCATTTACTTTTGATTAACATCTGATCAAATACAATGGCGGATTGTCTGCTGGAGTTTTCTGAATGATACGCCTGTGCATCAAGTTGCTGTCAACTGGTAGTGCCAGGGATGGAAGGAGGGGGACAAAAAGAGAGAGAGAGAGAGACAGAGAGAGAGAGAGGAGGGGAGGAGAAAATAGAGAGAGGGAGGGTGGCTGCAAATGGCAGTTTCTGTGACACCAGGAGAGGGAGGGAGAGATGGAGAGGAGAGAGCAAAGAAATAGTCAGAGGGAGAGAGAGTGTGAGAGTGAGAAAGAGAGAGAGAGTGCAAGACCTGCAGTCCAGCTAGATCAGATTGCAAAAGATTGATAAAGCTAGTTCAGTTATTAGCAGTGAGGGAGTATTGTCCAGTTTTATGTGAGGGAGTATTGTACTGTTTTATAACATTTGGAGGATGTACTTCAGGCTGGTAGAAATGAAGAATGAGCAAAAGACCAGCTGAAGAAATTGCCTCAGAACATGGAGATACAAACACCTGAAATTTCCCTGGGATAATTAAGTGTTCGCATCGTACCAGGTTTGCACGTCCAGTTCTAATCTGACTGACTTGGTGCGAGGTTCTGGTGGGATTTAGCCTGGTCAGAAGTGCATTTTTTATCTCTGCCTGTATCAGCACCTGAAAAAAAGGGGGAGCAAGAGATCCAGCAAGGATGAAGAAATTCAAAGGGGGTCTGTGTCCTTTGCTGAAGCTGATGGAGTGGTATTCTCCAGTGTTAGAGTAACACAAAGAAGGAGCAGCTGTGGTGGCTGATGCCGAGAATGCCTCAGTTTGGCTAACAAGGACACAGGGAAACAACATAACACCTTTTTACTTCTGCAGCCTGGAGGAAGACACACAGAAATTAAGGTAAGAGAAGACAAGGAAACTTTGTCTAGAACTTACAGTCTTAATGTCACATCTGTATTTGTCAGATATCACTGGTCTAAAGAGGAAGAGAGCAGGAGCTGGATAGCAATATTTAGTGTTGAGCATTCTCCCTAAGAGCATTGACACAGCCATCCTTAAACATCGTTTTAAATTAGACTCAAGTTCTCCCTGATAGCAAAGTATTCAAAGATAAATTCAAATATTAAGACAGTATCTATTTGTCCTAGCATTCCCCAAAAAAACGCAGTCTCATAATAGCTAAATGTTCTCAACATTTCCTCTGATAAGAATGTAAACACGACATATAAACACCGGAGAGTCAATACTCAGAGCTATGTTCGAAACACATTTCGAGATGGTGCGAAGCCAAAATAGCAAAGGATTTGTAACTTATTTATTTATAGTTTTCCTACAGCTTTTCTGTAGAATGGGGTGAAATACATTGTTTCTAATAATTATGATTTAGCCATCCAAATGCTCTCGTGCAAGGCTGCTTATTTAGGTTTTAGCATGTTTTTTTCATTTGCAAAGAAGGCATTGTCTTTTTGTGTCAAAGTGTTAAAAAAAGACGTTAAGTAACATTATAAATCAAAAATAAATTCCTGTAAAAGGTTAATTAGGTCTACGGGGGTATTCCTCTCTACATTGTCTCCATCAATATCACAGCTTTTATCTCGAAGGCAGATAGGAGAAGCATGGCAACTCAATATAAATTGTTTTGTGTTCAAATAGCTTTACCAAGTTGTTTAACAAAATCACATCAACATAAATGGAATCTGTGTAAATCAATCGATTGAGTTCAAATAAAAACCTTAACACGCTGCTGTTCTCAAGTGTTTCTTGTTATAAAATATATATTTTGGGTCACCGCCTTCAGATCTATGATGGGATTTTTTGACAGTAATCGATTATGCAAATGACAAAAACAATCATGCCAATAGTATTAACAGGAGAATAACAACTTGAGTCAATGTAAACAAACATTTCCACTCCACCCTCCCAATATAACCTCACTGAACACCTTGATACTAATCCACTGGCTACTATTTCCTGGAAGTATTATAACCAAGTGTAGCATCTAATTTAGCATGCTAATACTGGAGGACAGATATGAGCAGGTGTGAATGGATGATTTTTTTTGCTTTGTGTACAGCACTTTTCTATTAGTGTTAAAGAAATCACTGATGTTAGGGTACAAAAGAGGCATAGATGAGGAGAATAAAGAGTATGCAGCCCTGCCTGGTAGTACAATGACATCATGCTGCTTTTGATCTCAGTTTATTCTACTTTGATTCAATTTTATTATTTGAAATGGATATGAGGTATGCAGAGAGTCAAACAGAAAATGCAAAATACAAAACACCACCAAAGGTACAATATCAAAAATAAAAAGAGTACAGCTTCTACAGCATTTGTTTACATTAAATAGAAATGTATTAAAAGTAATATAAAGAAACTTTTGTTCTCTAAGCAGCAAATGTCACATAAAACTGTAAATGACAGAGTTCATATTAATGCGTGCGATTCAGCCTTTGTGAAGTGATGGAACTAATTTAAAAACTGCACAAATAAAGATCAAAAAAAGGCGCAGGAGGGACTGGTTGATCAATGGGAAGCAGGTGTTTGAACAGAGGAAAAGGTACAGGTGCAGCCTACACAACAACTACACATTTTGTTGTACCAGCTGTTATAACAATAAGAGAAATCCAATCAGTTCTTTTTGCACATTTCTCTCTACCCCTTTGCTTAATTATCACCTGAGATGGCGTCTCTCAACACATGGGAAGGCCTACTGATCAAGTCTAAGAGCCTGCAGGTTTACAGACTCTTAACTTGTAGTGTCTGTGTGTCTTTGTCTATAGCATTTACTTATCATTGCATTACACAAAAACAGCTGTGATCCAGTACGTGAAACATACTGTCAATCAGACAACATCTCTGCATGGTGAAGGGGTGTTTCTTTCTATAGGAAAATACCAGCAGGTCACTTGAGACGAGATGAGTTCCACATGGTGAGCTATAGGAAAATACAATGTCACCTGAGCCTCAGCTCTTCCTTCACAATAGTCTTGGGAGGTAGGCCCGGATAGTAGTGGTGGAGCTCAGTTTCCTGCACACTTGCCTTGAGATGAAGTACTCTCTCCAGGTCCGGCTCCATGTTCCTTCCAATCCCTTCCATTATTTGGCACATCCAATTATCCATTCTATTCATCTTAATCAGCTACAAGCTTATCACCTTCCCTAGTTACTCCTCTCAACTCCCCGAGAACGCACACAGCAGACAAGGTCACAAAAGGTTATTCATGAAATTATTGGCTGTAGTGCAAATCACTCCCCGTGTCCTGCCTATGAATCAAAGATGAATGTTCTTCAGTTACTGATGCACTCTCAAGTTAGAGTGTTTGAACTGCAAAACAAGGTAACAATACAGATACAACACTGATCCATCTAAGATGTCTTTTCACACCGATTTGAGTGTTATTGCTTCATTAACATGCAGTCTTAGAGGTAGGATCTGGGAACAGTGAGCAAACAGTTGACCATACTGCAGAATTCAATACAGAATTGAGACAAATCATCACTTTCATATTGATTGGAAAGTTTTTTAAATCACAAGGACAGACCGACACAAGACAACAATTTTATTGTCACATCAATAAGCTTAAAGTAGTTATCTTTAGTCATTCCTGCCCCTAGAAATTACCTTTTATTGTTAAGGAAAACAGACAGGCTTTACAGTTCTATTTAAATTGGTGACAAAAGAACTATTAAGCAATCTAATATTTTGCAGGATTAGGGTTGTTATTAAATGCTATAGACAAAGACTCACAATGTTGATTATCTACACAGCCAGCATTTTGATTACATGTAATACAATGTAACCGTCATTAAAATGGCTACATGAACTACAAAATGCTCTTAAATTTCAATTGAAAGAACTGAAGGTTAACTAGATTTCTTACAAGTCATTGTGACTAGTTGTTGCTTAATCTAAAAGCCAAACTTAAAGGTATGGTAAATTTCAGAGCTATCTACACACAAAACTAACACCACAACGTCTCGAAAGAACAATATGATTTCAAGAGCTTCCCATGTACCCACAGCAGAGGCTTCCTTGAATCATTGGCACTTACCTAATGAGTCCATGGATACAGAGGGTTTTACTTTCATTAGACCAATTCACTGGACACCTGACACTTCAAACCACTGTATGACATGGAGACTGCGCACCATATAGGGTCTGCTCTGGTCATGTGAGTGGTGTAGGGATCAAGATGTATAATGGGAAATGTGGATACCATGTTCAGGCTCAATTATGTAACACAGTCATTTAGTTAGCCTAAGACTTAGTCTAATATAGCCAAGCCAACTGGCCGCTACATGGATGAGCCACACAGCTCAAACAGGCTTCTTATAAAACTGCATTATCATCAAGTGTAGAATACAACAACAGAGGGAAACTTAGTTTGGTTAACACATTTACTGATAAACATATATGGAAGGAGTGATGAAAAACGCAAGACTTGCAGGGCTATAAACTGTTTAGCTGGTATAAATATGTCACCAGCAACCAGCTTGTAAAGTGCCACGTGGCTGGTTTAAGAATGTAAGGCACGTGTCATTATGTTTCACAACAATGTGATGTTTTGAAGATGACCTGCCGAGGGACTGCAGATGTAAACTAGCTCTAAGCTAACCCTGGTACAATGCATCAAATGGCAATATTTATGTTTAATATTGAACATGGCACCTTTAGAAAAACAATACAATCAAATAAATTGAATGAATCTACAGCCAATTAACTGGTAGCAGTCAGCTAAGCAAGTCAGTTACAAACTCACAGCCTGTCAAAAATATTGCAATGTTGCAATCAAACTCATTGATCTGTTTTCATAAATTGTTTAAGTTTCATTGATAACCATTTGATGATTTCTGGTGACAGGATTAGCTTGTGTTGTACACTATACAATTATATTATAAAAGAGAAAGTACAATGTGGGATAAAATAAAATGTAATCAAGCAAACTTTGAAAAGGATTTGAGGACATATGGCTCCAGTTTGGGAGAACTTACGCCAGTGTGTGTGTGTGTGTGTGTGTGTGTGTGTGTGTGTGTGTGTGTGTGTGTGTGTGTGTGTGTGTGTGTGTGTGTGTGTGAGGACAAAATCGGTGCATCTGTGATTTTGCAGACAGCAGGGAACACAGGATCTAAGAGCGCCCATGAGGGAACTGTCAAATCCTCAGGGTCCAATTCAGACAGGCAGAATCAGACTGGATGTGTCCAGGCGATAAAAGCTTTTTGCACCCAAAGGGGCCTCAGTCCAGTTCCCATGGGTAAAGCACCCTGAACCTAAGGTTCATCATCCAGAGCAGTGCCCACGTTATCTACTGCCTGACCCCCAAAAAATGAATGGACAGCTATTCTGACAAATTTATTTCTCTGTAAACCTACATGTAGACACATATGGTAAAAGTTTTTTTGCTATAATTTTACTGCATCCTCACAACAGAATGGGGTCAAATAAACAGAGTCTTTCTCTCTCTATCCATGTTCACCGCATCTGGAGTAAGTGGAACACATACAAATCCCCTGTGACTATTTTTTAATACACACACCTCATTCCCCCTCAAAAAGTAGTGAAGTGGAAGGACAATAGCAAACATAGAACAGATAGAAGTGCACAGCTTGTCTGTTGTAAGTGTGATGTCTGCATGGCACGTTGTGGATAAACTATGAATATAACCAAGACATGTTGAAAGCCTACATGTGTTAGCCTTCCCTATCACACAAAAGACTAAAATATGACAGCCCTCCTTACTAAATGAACACCTACCGAGACAAGAGTTGTGACTCAAATGATCACATAATAATACAAATTAATGTAGGTGGTGACTTGCTTCATCTCCACAGTCAAAGTCATGCTTCTCTTTTTATTTGAAAGAGAAGCACACAGGACGTGCCATGTGAAAGAAGTGGCTCTGCTGTGAAGCCAGCTCTTCAGTTAACCAGCTGACATCAAAAGACATGAGGACCCTTCAGTGAGGGCCAATTGGATTTAGAGTCGTGATGTTTAAAAAAGATGGCGAGGAGCAGGAGTGTGAGGTTAACTGCAAAAAAATGTGTTATTGTATGAATTACTATTACTGATACTAGCATGGGAAAGTATAATGCTCGCACTGGGAGACAGGGAAACTAACATTTTCATAAATATTAACAATGTTGGACAAACTCTCACATTTAAAATAATCTCTACTGTATCCTGTTAAAAACATTATCAGAGACAGACCTGCAGCTGACACATTTACAGTAGATTCTGGATTTGGAAAAACCTAAATACTGACTGAACCTCATTTTTCAGATTATCAGATTTAAGTGACAAATGACCAAATGGCTTTTTTTTTTTTCAAATGTAAGGACTGAAACTAAACTTCAACCATTTATCAAAACTTAATTCAAATCTAAAATTCAAATCTAGTTAATCCAATGCATACATCTTTATATAACTTGCATAAAAGCATTTTTCACTCAAACAAGAACAGGTAAATAAAACTTTAAGTGATGGTGGTGAATTGGTCATTTGTGTTCTAACACAGACAGCTCATCCAGTGCTTTGTCTATTAATAACATCGGCCTTCTTTTAGGGCCAATAGCAAAACTACTATGAGTGTTACTTATGCAACAGTTTTTTCCAAAGCTTTTATGGTTTTTTATCTGGCGATGTTTCATACACAGGTATGTTATTATTTAACCGTTATGTCACTGAAAGAGGCTCACGTTGTTCTCTCCATCTCTCTCTACAGGGATTGGATGAAATCAAAAGGCTCCCACCCAGCTCCCTGTCAATGACTCACTAAAATGGAGCTTAGTGAGTGATCAAGCTGTGAGGGGCCTCGATCACACACTGGCCTGCCCTTCTGCTCTGGCCCTGCAGCTGGAGGCGCCGCCGGGAGCATGAGTGTGGGAAGGATCAATAGCTACAGCATCGTGTCATCTGAGGAAGAGGGCCTGCGCCTCACTAACATGCATGGCATGAATGGCTTTGGCAATGGAAAGATTCACACCCGCCGCAAGTGCCGCAACCGCTTTGTCAAAAAGAACGGCCAGTGCAATGTGCAGTTTGCCAACATGGAAGAGAAGTCACAACGTTACATGGCTGACATCTTCACTACATGTGTCGACATTCGCTGGAGATGGATGCTGGTAGTCTTCACTCTTGTGTTTGTTGTCTCCTGGCTCGTCTTCGGTTTAGCCTTTTGGGTAATTGCCTTGCTGCACGGCGATCTTGATAACCCAGCAGGAGATGATAACTTCACTCCATGTGTTCTTCAGGTCAACGGATTTGTGGCTGCCTTTCTATTCTCCATTGAAACACAATCTACCATTGGTTATGGCTACCGCTGTGTGACCGAGGAGTGCCCAGTGGCTGTCTTCATGGTGGTTTTTCAGTCCATAGTGGGCTGCATCATTGACTGCTTCATGATTGGAGCCATTATGGCCAAGATGGCGAGGCCTAAGAAGCGAGCACAAACATTGTTGTTTAGTCACAATGCAGTCATTGCCATGCGAGATGGAAAGCTGTGCCTCATGTGGAGAGTAGGGAACCTACGCAAGAGCCACATTGTAGAGGCCCACGTCCGAGCGCAGCTCATCAAACCTCGGATCACTGACGAAGGGGAATATATTCCTCTAGACCAGATAGACATTAATGTGGGCTTTGATAAAGGCTTGGACAGGATTTTCTTAGTTTCCCCCATCACTATTCTCCATGAGATAGACGAGGATAGTCCCCTGTTTGGGATCGGCAAACAGGACTTGGAGACGGCAGACTTTGAGATTGTCGTCATCTTGGAGGGGATGGTTGAAGCGACTGCCATGACTACGCAGGCTCGCAGCTCCTACTTGGCCTCTGAGGTCCTTTGGGGACACCGATTTGAGCCAGTCTTGTTTGAGGAAAAGAACTTGTACAAGGTGGATTACTCTCACTTTCACAAAACCTATGAGGTTCCGTCCACCCCCCGCTGCAGTGCCAAGGACATGGTGGAAAACAAGTTCCTAGTCCCAAGCTCTAACTCCTTCTGCTATGAAAATGAGCTTGCCTTCTTAAACCGTGAGGACGAGGAGGGGGATGTAGGTGGTGGAGGAAGGGCACTGTCAAACCTAAGTCCAGATCGAAACAGCAGACATGAGTTTGAACGCCTTCAGGCCACAAGGTCGTTGGATCAAAGATCCTATCGTAGAGAGTCGGAAATATGACCTTTATGGATTGACCAAGGGTCAAATTCAATAACTTCATCCAAGGGTAATAATGCAGAACAATGCAAAGTGCCATAGGAAAAGCTGACTACTGTGAAAGGATGGAAAAGAAGGGACGTACACAGCTTAGAGAAATGTGATAAAGAATGTCTACAATCAAGGAAAAGGCGAAAGAAAGACCTTCCTTAACAGCAACTTGAATCTTTTTCACATGGTCATTTTAAGTTGAGTGTTGAATGAAAGCAAACCGGCAGACAAAACAACAATGACAAACTTTTAGTCAAATCTTAGATGTAAATATATTGCTTAGGTAAGTTATGTTTTGTGTGCAGTATCACTTTATCAAAACATCTCTGAAAGTAGAAATTGTTTTTTCAACTTGTTCTTGAGCACAAATAATAGTGTTACAAGGCTACTCTTAAGCTCTCCTCGCATTGCTGTAATTTGCTGGACAGGCGTTCAGTGACACAGTGAAAATTTGTGCACCACAGCATTCAGATGCAATGAGCCATGATAAAACATCTGACCATGAGCCTCTGAGAACAAAGTAATTTAACCCTTCTTTTATGTATGGGTTTAAACACCCAGCGATTAATATATAGAGAGCAGGCAAAATGTATTGCACTATAAGATCATTACGGATATTGTTGAAGATTAATGAATTAGACACATTCTATTTATTATCTCTTAATGCCTCTTTTTTTTAAACTTATTCTTCAAAAACATCCTAAAGGCCACCAACACAATTATTTGCCTTCACTTGTCTACACATATAATTTTGTGAACAAATATGATATAATAATGTTTTATTTCATAATAATTAGGGCTGTCATTATTGACTAGTTAATTTGAATAATTAAGGTCTGAAATGAATACACTTATTTTTTTCAATTGCAATTGACTAATGCTATTTTGTCCAAACATTTCAGTTTTTTACTGCCTCTTTAGCTGTTTTTCATTTAGTTTTTGATCCATAACAAGTTTTTTTTCCCATGGCTGCGTTAATGTCGTAACCTTTAATCTATCAGATGGTCCTTATTTTATTTCAAAATAAAAGCAGGGTTGAATTCAAACAGCATGTAAAGTACTCTCAGCTTAAGACATTAGAAATATTTAAAATAAAGCCTTACAATTATCTAATGATTGATGAAAAAAAATGGAATCGTTTGACAGCCCTAATAATAATATATCATATATAATAAATACAATAAGTGTTCAGGTATAAAGAAACTTAAGCACAAGTAGTGGATAGCCAGCTTATTTGAATATATGTAGAAAAAAAAAAGAATTTTTGCAAGACAGTCATAGCAATAAGCTTCATTCCACTTTGTATTGAAATTAGAATTGTAACAGACGAGTATAAAATGATCACACAAATGTTTTTTGGTCCTCTTTAAAACTAATCTATGCATACTGTGAACAATAATTTCCCTTCTGGGGATTAATAAAGTATTATAACAGGGGACAGAAACTCTATACAGTTCAGTTTGAGATTTAAAAAAATATGTTGAATAGCTTATATCTATACCCCACACTTACAAAAACAGCCCTCCTTGCCCCCCACCTAACTATGGTTAATTCAAAACTCTTTGTGTTATGGCAATTATTTTGGAATGATCAAAATGTTGTAGCCTACTTTCAGTAGCCTGCCCTATCCCCACTGATTAAACATCATTAGAGGGGAAAACTTAACGTCTATTAATATTGGTACGGACAGAGTCCATCTCTATTTCAAACTTATCCTTGCTTTACCTGAATCTTATGCGTATAACGGTACAAAATATTATCCAATAAAGACATGATAATAGAGCCCTTAAACAAGTAAAATGAATGTGTACAAGACTAAGTATAGCTTGAACATGTTATTGCTGTAATTTGATGGGACAGATTAGAAACACTGAAAGTAAATAGTTTCTTCCCCTTCCTTTACTCCTTATTTTGATTCCTCTAGCTTTTACAAAAATCACTTAGCACAGAAAGATTCATTTATTGAAGCAATATGCATAAAACCACTTCAAAGTAGATAACAACAGACTGGGAACAATACAAATTCAAGTACACTTTAATCAATTATTTGTAGTAAGCATGTTCATACTGATTCTCTTGTTATATGCTGAACATGCATATGTATAATTCTGGATTCACAGATTACACATGAAAGGTTTAGCATGAGGTAAATGACATTTATTGTTTGTTTGTTTTTTACTTGAATGCATATGATTACTGAGATATTATACCAAAGTTATGGTGTGTAACTCTGAAGTGTGAAGGGACTGTTATGATGGTAATGATCCAAAAACAGTGTACGCGGATTCTGAAAAAGTGATACAGATTCCAAAAAGGTACTTGAGTCTCCTGTATAAAACACATAAATGCTATTTAATGCTATTGATAAGCGCAAAGTCTGAACTTATCATTCACACTTCAACATGTTTTTTTATTCTAACTCTAACTTTTGGAAATTTTTCAGAAATTTAAGATTTGTGTAGAAGAAACATTAAGGATGTGAAAAAAAGGGTTAGAAAAACAAGAAAACAAAGAGGAAAACCAGAAGATGGTTGTTATTTTGGTCACAATGACTAATAATCTCCTAACAGTCATTTGAATCTAATGGTATGCTTGACTCTTTCTCTCGGTTAAATGTGACATTTTTTGACTAAAAAGAGGAATGCAGTAATATAGGGAACCTTTTGACAGATAATTAAAGAGCCTGTAACCCAACCTTAAATATTTATTATGCTCATTGCCTTCTGGGAAGGTTTTATAAAGTGTGTGACGCCTCTGCACCAACTCACTTAATTTCAGTAGTAAAAAAAAGTGATCTATGCTGCATCACAAAAACACATAATGTCATTTCTACAGAAGTCTTTTTTTAGAGATTATTTTAGCTTTGATGTTGCCCACCTGAGCCCTTCAAGAAGAAACCTCTTCACATGTTTTAGAAAAAGGTTTATAGTGTAAAAAGCATAGAAATGTTAATTATATATATATATATATATATATATACACATAATAGTGAGCAGCCCAGCTGAAGAGGAACCTGCTTATTTTTATACAAAGCTCTTTTTGATAGATTACAGCTATTGATATTTTTCTGTTTTTATTAGAGTATCACAATGAAAGAACTATTGAGAGGCTAAATATGATTCTTCTCTCAATGATTTAATTTCTGTTGTTTGATTTCAAGGTATTTCTCTTAAAGGGATGATTGGAAAAACCTTTGACCTCTGTAGAAGTCTTCCTATGTCCAGCATAATGTCTACTGGGCTTTTGATTGAATTCAAAGTCATGGAATTATTTAAATTAAAAACTAACTGTGAAATATGACTGTTTTTTTCTCTTCTGTTGAATGGGGTCAACCGGTTTGAGCTGTATTGATACGTTAAATCCAATTTAAACCCTGAACATCCTCAAGCTCAATTAATGAATGAGTGAAGGGATAGCTGAGGCGTTGTATCACCACGAGGGGATGCTTAAGATGAGGGATCAAGATTGATGTAACTAAAGTCAGATGACTTTCTGGTCTTGGACCAATTACACAAGAAGGCTCATCAATTAATCACTGTGACACACAAACAACTAGCAGGGCCAGGGGCCTTTTGGCCTCGGAGAGCTGGGCAAGACCCCCACAGCTGACTTTGTCAGATCAATGGTGTAGAAACACGAAGTCTGCTGCCTGACAACTGAGGAAAACTAGGTAAATGTTTTCAACTGAAACTCACTATGGACCTTTTTTATAGGACATAAAAGACATTTCATAGGAAAAACACAAATAATCATAAAGCTAATGATGGCTTAGTTCTATTTCACTGTTTCGGTTGCAGGGTCCTGGTATTATGCATGCTGGCTCAACCTAAACCGTCATGGCTTACAAGAATACGACTGAGCCATCATCATATCACCTCTGTTTACAATTTTAAGAATTCAAAACACAGTTCACACTGTCCAATAAAGTGTTAGTAATGTTTGATATATTAAGTCAATAATAAAAAAATATAAAAGTACCCTATGACAATTTCCTTGTCAGCACAACTATATTTTGACTGGTTGCAAAGAAAACTTCTGAACTCTTTTCACAGGATCAATTACACAAGCCATAGCTAAAATAAAATAATTCAGGTTGGGGGGATTATGCCTCCCACAGTGAGTGTCAGTTGTAGGATTAACATGCTTGCCACTGGTTGTGCTGAGCTCAGGCGTTGGGTCCCAGCACTAACTGACTGGAATAATGGAGAATAATGGTGGAAGCGTGCGCCAGGTTTGATTATGTAACAACATCGGGACACTGTATGTTGGGCTTTGTGTGGCTTGGTGTCATACAAAGAATAGAAGTAATGTTTTAATTATTCGTGGTGGACAGTATTAATGAGCACCTAATACAGCAAGACAATATATATTTTTCATCAGTGTAACATAAAGTATATAAAAAAATTTATAGTTTTTCTCAGTCGCTTTGGTACATTTCTCAGATTAGAATTGAATTTCTCAAAACTACTTGTTCAATCTTCACATCATTGTGTCACTTGTGCACATCAAAAAAACAGTTCCTAATTTCTTTAAACAAGTTGCAAATGCTTTGGTACATCCATGCAAATTATTATGTACAATTCTCTGCTGTTTCCTACATTATCAATTGCTTATGTCATGTTGATCAAAATGTATTATAATGGGTCTGTTGAATAGTCTCACCCCCACAACATTTAGGCATTAGTTCATCGCATAAGTCTTTACATGCAAAATGGTTGAACAAGTTATCAAAATATGTCAAGCATATTTCTATACATTTCCATTAGACTTTTTTTCTAAATCTGTCCTGAATTGGTAAATTGCTCCCAGGTGAATCTTGACTTTCTCTAATGAAGGGAAATGTGTGAAGCATTAGATCAACCAATGATCAACCAGTTTTCTGAAATAGCTCAAAGGTGCATCTCATGAACCATCAACTGGCAAGTATATATACAATATAGCCGGAGCACAACACAATGTTACAATGTCTGACAATGGAAGGACAAGGAATTGGACGGGGTCAACAGCCAGAGAGAAGAAGAAGAGGAAGAGGAGTGAGGCTGCGTGGCGGAGGAGGTGGGAGGCAAAACAGAGGAAGAGGCAGAAGAGGCCGAGGACATATGCACGTTCCTGATGAGATAAGAACCACACTTGTAGACCACGTTCTCAATCATGGGCTTACAATGGCCGAGGCTGGTCGAAGGGTGCAGCCAAATGTTGGGAGAACAACTGTGCCCTCAATAGGGGTGTGAACGGTTACAAAAAATTGTAAACGGTTACACAATGTCATTTTTTTCGTGTACACAGTTAACCGTTTTTTGTTTGTTTTTTATTAAGAAAAAAAAGAAGAAAAAAGCGTAATAAACGGCCCGGTGCCTCAAAATAACAAGCCGGACTCTCCGTGTCTGTTTATGCCTTGCTGCACCCCAGTGAAGTGACGGGGGTTAGCCCCGAAGTTGAGGACTACAACTTCGGCCCTAGAGAAGATAAATAAGTCTACCCTGTGCGCCCTGACCACGGTTGGAACGCGAAGCAGGAAGGTTAACACTCCGCTTAGTAATATGCTTAAATTCAGCGGGTTGTCTCGTCTGATCTGAGGTCGTAGTTGAATGGGCCTGACCCTCGGGACTGCGCAATCCCCCCTACCTGGACGAAGCGGAATAGGGCGGACAGGCAGTAAGGGAAAGGAGTGTGGCTCAATAACCCCCTCCGAAGATGGGGGTGAGAGAGGCTCACGGACTTACGTTCAACCGGTTACCGCCGTTGCGAAAGGGCGACATGGAAAGCCAGAACCCGCACAGGCATGTCCAAACAATCGCACGGAACCAGAGTCAATCCCCAGGAGTGCGGCTCCTCCACGCCGCACTTCGCAAGTCAAAAGTGAAACTTAATTGTTACGTGACGTAATGCCCGGTGGTCAGTTATCCAACACTTATCACGTGCATTTGTGAGTGCAGTAACGTTGTCAAAGTGGAACATTTGTAGCTTTATTCATCTCTAAATAAATAGTATGTGTTATTTTTGATCAGAGATGATTGAATGCGTGTCTCTAAAACATTTTAAAATAATAATTAAAAAAAAAAAATGTATAAAGGTTTTTGTT